ATGGTCTCGGGGAGGCCACCAGTAGAGCCAACTTGCGAAGTAGGCGCAGGTGGAAGAATAGATGAGAGAAGACCGCCAACAAGACCGCTGGAAGAAGTAGGCTGCACAATGGTCTCAGGGATGCCACCAGTAGAACCGATCTCGGCAGTGGGTGTAGGTGCAAGCAGCGAAGAAAGGAGACCACCAACAAGGCCAGCGGAAGAGGTGGGTTGAACAACCGTTTCAGGAATTCCGCCAGTCGATCCGGGGACGATGAAAGGCCCAAGGAAGCTTGATGCATCAGGAGAGCTTGGTGCTGCAGAAGAAGCAGGAGCTGCAGTGGGTGTCACAATAGTCTCCGGAATGCCTCCAGTAGAACCGACAGCCTGCTCCGATGATTGAGGCACAGTCGACGAAACGGCCTGGGTAGGCTGAACGACAGATGTGGGAACTCCGCCAGTAGAGCCGATGATAGGGTTCAGGAGCGATGAGAGAAGTCCGCCAACAAGACCGGCAGAAGTTGGCGTCGCGGAAGGCGACTCAACAACCGACGATGATGGCTGAACGATAACATCGGGCAATCCACCTGTAGAAGCAGGAGTGTTCTCGATACCAGGAGGCTTAGAGGTAGGCGCAGTGGAAGTTGGCTGTACGACAACATCAGGGATACCACCAGAAGAAGCGGGCACGTTGTTTACCACCGATGAAGATGGCTGAACAATGGTCTCTGGAAGACCTCCAGTAGGAGCAACAGCCGAGCTCTGAATGGCTGAAGTTGGCTGTACAATGGTCTCAGGAATGCCACCTGTGGAAGCTGGCTCACTTCCAACAGTGGGAGACGACGGCTGCACAATCACATCAGGCAATCCTCCAGTCGAAGTCGCCGCTACGCTCTGAACAGTGGAGGTAGGCGGCACAACGACGCTGGGCACGTCAGAGGAAGCAGGGATGTTTTCAACGGCAGAAGATGTGGCAGCAGCTGAGCTCGGGGCAGAGGAGGTTGGCGGGACGATGACGTCCGGAAGAAGACCGGTCGAGCCGAGGATAGGACCCAGAATAGGGCTGTCGGCCTTGGTGCTGGAAGCAGGGCTACTCTGTGCTGTGGAGGTAGGCTGCACAATGGTCTCAGGGAGACCGCTGGTGGTACCAATCTCTACCGCTGGTGGTGCAGATGACTGAGCAGCTGATGAGGAAACAACAGTGGTCGGTTCAGGCTCAGGAATAGGCTCAGGTGACGGAGTAGGCTGGATGATGGTCTCTGGAAGACCACTAGTGGAGCCAACTTGAGGGGGGTTCTCCACAATGGGGGTTTCGGCTGGTTTCTTGCTTTGCGGGGCCTCTGGAGTGGGGGTTGAAGCAGCCTCAGAAGTTGGCACAAGGATGGACTCCTGAACTTGGCTCGATGATCCAATGCTGGAGCTTGACGGTGCTGGAGGTGGAGGAGGCGGGGAAAAGACACTGCTTTGCGAGGCAGAAGCAGACGAAGAGCTCTCGGGCAGTGTTGTTGGGAGATCGTCCAGTGTGGAAGTCAGGGTGCTAGTTGTGTCGACATCGCTGGTGCTGACAAGTGAGTCTGAAGAGGCAAGAGCCGAAGTGTCAGAACTGCCACGGAAAAGCGATTCAATGAAGGACGGGAAGTCCATCTGACGCGATGTGAGTTGCGAGGAGTAGCTGCTAGACTCTGGCTCAGGAGACGGAGACGGAGTGGCCGCCGGGGTAGTCGAGTTGGTTACGATCTGTCGCTTCACTTGCCTAGGAAAGTAGTATCGGGGACGGCCTTGGGTTTGTTGAGGTCCTGGTGCAGGCATGGCCTCCGCTGTCGTGAGCGGAGAGCCAGAAAGACTGGCCAGAACAAGGGCGGCGGCCCATACTGTGGCTGAGCGCGGCATGTTTACGATTATATTCCCCGGTTAAGTAGAATTAAGTGTCTTGAGGGTGTCGAAGGTGGTATACGTGAAACCCTGCTGCTGTCAGACATGAATTTTACAGGCAAAGTCAGAAAACATACTGTCAGGGCTTTGGTAAACGAGTGTACTTGACGAATGTCAATGGTTGGTAAAGAATGGACCTGTAGGCTGTCAGTCTCGACGAAGAAGGCGCCTCGCTGAGCGGGCAACTCACTAGACTGTCGATGCAGCTAGGAATAGATGGCGATGCGGTTACAGCGTCGTCGCAATGTAGTCGATTTGGTCGCGGGCCTATGCTGTCATGTTTGACACTGACGGGTACCGGAGAATAGTCGTCGCGCGGTCTAGAAGCACGCGGTAGTGGACCAGGGCCGAGCAGAGGTTGGTTCACACGTGGGTGTCAGCCAGGAAGCAGATGCGCAACAAAGAAGCGTAGCGGTCGGTCGAAGCGGTGGTCGTTGCTGTCGCCTAAGCAGGATTCGTAGCGGGAGCGTTTTCTTTGTTCTGAGCAGCGGGTGGACGTGCGCGTCGTGGTTGGATGCAGCGGGGTTGGGGCGCGTCTTCGTACGTGTGCGATGCTAAAACGAGCGGCGGCGACGTTGATAGGCAACGGTCAAATTACTAGTAATTGCGACGATGGAGCGATATTGCTTTTGAAAGAGTGGTCGTGATTCGGAGAATCGTGCAAGGGAGCGTAAGGCCTGGGGCGACGTGGAGAGCGGTGCTTGTCGGTCGGAGGAGAGAGCCACGGGGAGCCACGGGCGGCGAATGCGCAAAGTCGATATATGAATGCGCCCGTTGGGGGGATTGTCGGCGGGTGGTGGAGAAGAAGTCGGCTTGGGAGCGTGGGCGACGGGTAGTGAAGAAGAAGAAGAGGACAGGGCAAGCGTCAGCAGCAGCACTCGCCCCGGTGTCCAGGCCAAAACGGCGGCAGGCAGGGGTCGCGGGCGGAAGAGGGCAAGCGCAATGGGCTGCGAGTCGCTAACGTGTGCTCCCTGCAGGAGAACCAACTGCTCACCACTAGTGCGAGCGTCCACGACGGGGAAAGGCAGGGTTTCGGACGGCGGGCCTCTGCATTCGATAGTCGCAAAATAGAACGGCGCTTGCTGGAGAGGGAGTAGTCCGGTATTGACGTTGGCGGTGCATTCAATGCAAAATATTTTACAAGAGGAGACGGGAGACTTCAGAAACGAAGACGACGACAACAAGAAAGCCAAGTGGACATTGTGTCCCCATCAGCAGCAGATTGCGCATGCCACCAGTGGATTAATTTGCATCTGGCCGCGAGGCCCTGGTCGTGCAGACGGCTGTATGCTCAAACCGCACTAGCGATGGGTAATATATACCCCGGCTATCCATCCTACTTGATCGACCAACACACTATATCCCTTGCCCGCAACACTACCGTGCAACACAAAAACCCAGAGGAGCGTGAATGCAGCAAACTCCACAGTCTTGCTGTTCGTTTACAGCGCCGTCCTCGTAGCTGTCGATGCGGAGGGTTCTGGCGAACGAGCGACCATCAGGCGGCCAATGAGAGATGGCGCAGCCCCTGCCCTTGCCCAGCCCTTCATTTCGGCATAACACGGGTCCCACTCGCATGCGAATGATGATGATCGCTCACCACCGCGCCTCATGCTGCACCTGCACCCGTGGACATGCTTTGATTATCTGCCTCCAGAAGCAATATCGCGGGACTTTCCCAGTGGCCCTGCAGACTGTAATGCCAACGTCTCTACCGGCTGACATTCAAGGCATGCAGGCCCGTGTATCGCCTGCAGCCACACATTTCGCCTCGTGTCCACAGTCATTCCGAAGTGCGACCAACTGCTACTCTGACCACGCTATCGTTTTTGACGCCCATCTGCCTTTCGCTGACATCTTCGTCTCTACGACTCGCCAAAGTTCGTCCTAGGGCAGACGGCTGGTTTCGTCTTTCTGCTCGCCGCCTCCACGCTTGCGCACCAGGGAACGACATGAACTTTACAGCTGCCCTAGGCAGGAAGTACCATGCCTGCCACCAGCCCCTGTCCGTGCCTGGTCAGCCTACCGGTACTTTCTAACTGGATTGTCCTTCATCTTTCAACTGAGCCTGGCCATGACTGACGCCATTGCATCGACGCCTCAACTTCACATTGCGTGCTCTAGCGTTTCACTTTCCCACACGCCTATAATTGGTAGATGCCGACCCTCTACAAACATTCCCGCATCGTGGTTGCCGAGGTTCGCTGTCCGTGACTCGTTTCAAACTTCTGTGTGCGACTGTACGAGGAAGGCGCCAATATTCAGAGCTCACTGTAGACAAGCCCTTGGCCGATCCAATGGTCTAGCCAATGTACCGTGGCATCGGGCTACGGGGATTCCCCTTTCCGTCGCTTGCTATATCGTCAGTTGCCAACTTAACCGTAATGCCAGTTCAAGGAGACTTCCGTCGCAGCGGATGAAGATGCCATTACATCTCGATCGAAAATGGTTCATCACATGCGCCGCAGAGCTGTACTGAGCGATAGGCCCCCTTATGCCAAGTATCGTTCGACATATCGGGACTGCCGGCATGCGCTTGAACGTTTCGAAACCGCTCCCGTCAACTGAAAAAAGAACATCTCTTAACAAACACATTTATAGCCCCGCACTTACATTGGGCACGGTCACTGCGTTCATGCTATGTTCCTTCTCCTATACTCTGCCTCGGTTTGATCCCAATCCTTGTTCCCATTCTCTTACATTAACCACCGTCTGCTCCATAGTTCGCCTTTGTCTTTTCCCAACTTACGCGTTTGTTTCCTGTCAGATCCACATCCAGCAGGGTGACTGTTCATGGGCTCCACGTCCCGAAACGTGTTCTGTATCGCTATCGCGAGGATCGGTGGGGCATGACGGCACGCATGAACCCAGGAACCCAATCTCCACTTTTTGCTCTGGCATCTCCTGTTCTTGTTGGCTTCCAGAAGTTCTAAGCATGGCTGGTTCATACCTATAATGCTGTGTGAACAGCCATATTGGGCTGCGAGAAGCCACGCAGGCTTCGATGTCACAGCGCTTGGTGCAGGCTACGTCTACTTGAAGAGAAAGATGTTAATATTTGACATGGTTCCGCAGTCATCTCCACGCGATCTAGACAAGATCTACGATAAGAGTTTTTTTGCCTTCAGCTAAACCCCAGTCCCCGACGACCGCTGCGTTGACACTCGTCATAACCCCTCTGTTCTCTCTTCCCAACGCATACAGTACCCAAGCTCCGACCCAACTAGCAAGAATTATCAGCATAGTGCTAACGCGTCCTTCGCCACGACACACAGTGTCATAACTCCACTCCAACCATTCCCAGCTCCTTCGCTCAACTCCTCTCGCTGAGTGAATGTGCCCACAAACGTGTAGTCGTGGTTTGGCACGCCATAGTTCCCGTTGGAGATGAGCACAGCCCTGCAAATACGTAGGATTTGAAGCCGAAGAATCGAGATGTCCTTTGGCCGGGCCATGCGTTACGAGTATGTCTGTTGATTCTGAGATAGTATTGCACCATTTGTCTTCGTTCTCTGGATATTGAAACGCCCAGTTGCCATATTGTGGTGTCATGGGACTGCCGTAGACCCGAACGGTACGGTCCCGGATGTCGAATGTCCTTGATTCGTTGTTCAGGTACATCACACTTCCCCATTTCAGCTCTTTCATTTTACGTTCATTGTCTGGGCTTGCAAGTCGTGGGTTGCGATGGAAAAAGGATTGATCGAGAAGCAAGTCGTGATTTCCAGCTATTACAATCTTGTGATGATGTGGCAGACTGTTTAACCAACCGAGTTGTAGTTGGATTTCTTCGAATGTACCGTTGATGGTCATGTCCCCAGAGTGAATGAGAATGTCGCCATTAGGGACATGTAGTTTCTCGTTATGGGTGTCTGAAATGCACACAACCTTTACTGGTGTACCGAATGTGGGTCGTGGTATGACTATGGGCGGCCGATGGGCGTATAGCCATTGTGCGATTATGAGTAGCGGGTTTCGCTGCAAGTGCTGCCATATCGAGGGTGATTCAGGCGCAAAGATGTTGTTTCTGCCAAACGCAGATTTTGTGTTAGTAGTCATGTTGCTATCCTGTGTCCGAATGAGCTGCTGAATTTTTTTATAGTTTCAGAACTTGCGTTGAGATTGTGTGCGAGTGTGAGGGAATGAGAGAGTTTCGGTGTGGACAAGTGGTCGTGCTACTAGGCAGCAAACCCAATACCAGAACAGTAGAATAAACCACCTGATAATTGCATTGTCCGAAACTATACCTTTCAGAATCGTGGGTCGTGCATTTGGTAGCGAATCCACAACTTTACTGTCGGTTGACTATCCCATGGGACATCGATGTATCTAACACCGTTCGACGAACAATCACACTGCACCAACAGCCTCTGAACCAAGTCTATCGAACTCAAGGGCCCGATGCTGTTTCCACAACCGGCACGATAGCAACAGCGGTTGCAAAGTCTCCATCGTGGCTGATACTGATTTCGCACAGCTGTCCATCAAGTTCGCTCACGTCCACACGTGTCGACACTACGACTGGTGCATCGTCAGAGCTCTCTGTGTCATAGACTTTATCGAGTATCAACCCTTGGGGTCGTGCTGACTGATGCTCGCTGCGATCCACCGAGGTAACGGGTAGAATCATGATATGCTTGAATCCTCTCTCATCGATATCTAGATGACTGCATGCTTTGCGACAAGCTTCCTTCGCCGCAAATCTTTTATTGCGTAAGCCTTCTGCTCGTATCTAGAGCATCACTCGTACACACCTGCCAGCGAGGAATTTGGAGACTGAATCCATCCTCTTGGAGATCGTTTCTTCTGGTCCAAAACGGTTCCAGAAGTACTGGCGTTCGTGATCAGTAAGAACTCGTCTCAAGTATTGGTGTAGAGGTCGCAGAGGCTCGCCGCGATGGTGGCGCATAAGAACGGCTCGTAATCGTGGGACATGGCAGATGTCGGTGCCCACTCGGAAAGGATATGGAAAGGGTCGCAGTGGCATCGAGTGAGTCGAGTGTCACAGAGCATTCAAGCTGTAGGAGAGTGTGAAGGTGCTAGGTTAAGGCTTGGCAGGGTCAAAATGCGTAGGTATGCTGTTTCTCTCGCATCTTGTATAGGACAGGGGCGCGCAAAAAATATAGAGCAGCGGAAGCACCTCTCTCCACCCACTCACTCATCAAAAAATACGACGTTGGCCAGATTCGAACTGACGCTCCCGAAGGAACAAGATTTCTAGTCTTGCGCGATAACCACTCCGCCACAACGCCTCGGTTGTTGTTATCGAGTACTTGTACTTCGATGAAAAGTTGTCAAGCCGCTGTGTATATATTTCAAGACTGTGGTCTTAACATGCAGGCCGGAGAAACTGGCTCGTTTAAACCCCACTTCCAGCCCGCCTCGTCTCCACCACCGCCTACATTGTCCCTATACCTCAAGACCTCGAGGAAGACTTTGACTCTGCATACGTCCTTGCCCTCTTCCATGCGACAGGTCGCTCGATCCAAGTTTTCATGCGTGGCAAAATACGCAAGTCCGTCGATGCGGGCAATAAGCTTTTGTCTCTTTGATCGCGCAAAGAGCCGCGTCGTCACCTTTCGGAGTTGAAAATGAGGCGACAAAGATACTCCCCGTCGGATCCCGACAACCAGTAATTCTCTTTGAGCCTCGCGTCGCATCCCTTTGATTCGCTTGCGCCATGCAGCCTACAGGACCTTAGCACCCGACGTCTTCGCTGCTGACTGTAGCCCATGCCAAGGTGTCCGCGACACTCCAGGGAATACGTTGGATGCAAACGGCACCGAAACCGTCCCATGGGCTGTATAGGTTAGGGGCCCCGGGACGTACGACGCTGTTCTGGGATCCTGGTGGTACGGGACCATGTACCTCAAGCTACGGTTGGCCCGAGGTCGCCTTGTGCGAGTCCGGCGTTGGAACAAAGAGCTGGGGCATCGTGGCTGATGTGCATGCGGCCATGCGCTGGTAAGATTCTGCTGATGGCTATCGCGGGGTGCGGTGATGTTCAAATGTGGTCGATTCCTCGATGATTGTTTCCCTTGTGTGTGTCCTTCACTCTATCGCATGTTTTGAGTAGTGCATACGCGCCTGCGTCGATTCAGGTGCACGCAGTCCAATGCAGTTACAAACTTCTCCACGCCTACCAGGCGTCCCCATCCTGAAACTCGACTCTACCGGGCCGGAATACTCTCGCTGGCGACGTAGCGTCAAATTTGCGCTTGAAACGAAGGATACCTGGAAATACTGCAATGGCACTTTGCCCATGCCCATGCCCAGTCCAAGGTTAGCTTCGTCCATTTGTGTAACGGAGACGAAAGACATGCAGCCGGGCTTGCTAGAAGAGCGAAGGTCATGGGTACGGAAAGATCGAGAGGTCAAGCTTGATATCTTTCTCTCGCTGGCAGAGGAAGTGATGCTGGAGCTGTTTGAAGTCGGACCACCATTACCACCCTCCAACTTTAGCTCGCAGGAGATACTTGAGGCATTGGATGAACGATTCAACGTGTTCAGCTTCTCTGGCTACCACCACGCATTCTGCCATTTCCTGAACCTGCACGTTGATCAATACGCAAGCATCGAGGATTTTAATAACGAGTTCACGACGGTGCTGGAAGATCTGATCGACTACGGCCATCCACTTTCCAATACCCAAGCATGCTCCGCCTATTTTTCGAAGCTCCGATGTACCCAGAATCCATGGGTCGCAAAGAAGTTGGAAGACTGGGATATGCTGCCAGCAATGCCTGATATTTACAACCTCATGCAAGAATCGCCGCCATGGGCATGCATACGACCACTGCGCAGGTCGTCCCAAACTTTTCCTGTACCAACAATATCAGAAAAACATCCTGGAGATTCATGGAGTCATCCCCAGAGCGATATACCGGGTCTCTCAAATAGTAGCACTGCGTCATCCGATGGTTCTTGTTCAAGACAGCTCTCTAGACAAGTAACTCATAGTCAGAAGGTCGCTGTGCATGCTTCAGACAAGAATATCGAACCCGATCCCCAGGACTTGCGCGAGGCAATCGAGAAGCTTCTCACCTCTGCCGAGGCTAAGCATTCTAGCTTGAAGACCGATGCTCCAGTAGCTTCAGTATGCGCTACGCCAGACTGGTTGAACGTACCGCAAAAAGTTGCCCCGAAGATACTGTCAACACCAGAACTACCACCTCCTGTCATATCACTGCCTCTTCGCAAGACTCCCACTCAGTCGCGTGCACGCTCCGCATCACCACGTCTTCCATCCGAATCGTCTAGAACCTTGTCGCAAGCAAGTTTGACAGTACCAACAAGGACGAGACGTCCACGCACAGCAGATATGCCATATAAGATAGTCCAGCCATTCCAGCCTCTTCCGCCCGTACGGTCAAGAACACCAACGTATCCACCACCTCCACTGTCAGAGCACCCGGCTTTTCGAGACAGACCCTTGTTCCCAACGGGACATGCCCAACCAGATTTAATTTCCGTGGATTACTTCAATAGACCTCATCACCATTCCGCACCAATATATCCGCCATATCAGCACTCAGCCTACTCGTCAAATAGTAGCAGCGCGCTTAGCTTGCCACTACAAGGGACCAGCGAGTCGTCATGGTGCTACACAAAGGACAATAGCGAAGACACTCAGGGGCACTACATCCCAATCCTCACGTCTTCTATATTCCTCCAAGGCCGGAACCCAGACATTGCCAATGAGCAAAGCAAAACGTCTCTGCAATCCTCGTCTGCGGACATTACTGCTTTGCCGTCTTTTACCTCAAATATCGACGACTTGATCCCGCCGCTACCAAAGAAGAAGATGTTACGTAAAGCATCGTCTAGTATGGACATACTAAAACGGCTCAGCGGGGATAGTCTGCTCGAGTCTAGCGACGAAGTAAGGGAACGCGAGGAGAAGAAGGTTAGAGAGAAGGAAAGAAAAAGAAAGGGGTGGACTATTGGGGTGAATATTGCGAGATTCACGTATAGCAAGGGCATTCAGTAGACGGGTGCATAGCATGCAACTGTCTGCTGTTCGTCGGCATTTAACATTGTTGCTTAGTTGGTTGTGGCCAGAGTCCATGAGCTGTATACCCTATGCGTTCATCCAAATGTACTACTGTACCAGTTTGCAACACGAAGTGAAAACCAGACGCGCACATTGATATTAATCAACCGGACATTCCTCTTTTTCGGTGTCTACTAGTTTATTAGCGCACTCGATCAAGTGAAATCGGATCTCCACTCCATTTCATGATTTTTGAGAACATAGTCAAGTCTCTGAATGAGGTGAGGATTTAGTCTATGCTAGCTCTTCTATCTCGTATATTCGTAACACATTCCCGGTACCCGCCGTGTCTTAGCCGGTCAGATTACCGAAGAACCTTCACAGGTTGCTATCTACTGCGTCTCCCGCACGACCTTGTCAACAGCCTTGGCAAAGTAGTCAATGTTGTGCGTGTTCAGACCAGCCATGGAGATGCGACCATTCTTGGTCATGTATACATGCGAGTCTTCCCGGATCTTCAGCACTTGCTGCTCTGTCAAGCCAGTAAAGCTGAACATGCCGATCTGCTCTGTGATGTGGTTCCATGTACCTGGTGTGCCCATGTCCTCGAGCTTGCCGCGAAGCGCCTTGCGCATCTCCTTTATACGGCCAGACATTGTACGGAGGTTGTCTTCCCACTCAGCAAAGAGTTGGGGATCGTTGAGGACGGTCGAGGCGATACGGGCGCCGTAGGCGGGAGGATTTGAGATCTCAGAGCGCTGGAGGATGGCGAGCTGCGAGGCGATGCGCTTGATGGTGTTTTCGGCATCGGATGAAGGAGAGGTGACGAAGTGGAAGCAGCCTGCTCGCTCGCCGTACAGGCCGAAGTTCTTCGCATATGACTGCGCGATGCAGAGCTCGAAGCCTTGCTCGACAAAGTAGCGGATTGCCCAGCCGTCGGTTGCGAGATCGCCGGAAGCAAAGCCCTGGTATGCTGTGTCGAAGAAGGGGAAGTGCTTCTTCGACTTGATCACGTCGGCAATCTTCTTCCACTGCTCCTGCGTAGCGTCGACACCGGTGGGGTTGTGGGCGCACGCGTGCAGTACGATGATGCTACCCTCGGCGGCATCCTGCAGAGCATTGATCATGCCATCAAAGTCGAGGCCCTTTGTCTTCTTGGAGAAGTAGGGGTATGTCTTGTGTTCGAGGCCGACATTGGAGAAGATCTGGAAGTGGTTCGCCCATGTGGGGTCTGAGAAGTAGGCGGTTCGCTGGCTCTTGGTCTTGTAGAACTTGGCGAGGAAGAGGGCGCCCAGGTGGACGGCACCGGTACCGGAGATGGTTTGCAAGCTGGCGACCTGTGTGGTGTGAGCTCAAGTCATGACGTGGTGGAGTGATGTGCCTACCCGCTTCTCCTTGATGGCGGGGCTGTCACCGCCGAGGACTAGCTTCTGGGAGGCGGTTGTGAACTCTGCGAGACCGGCGATGGGGAGGTACTCGTGGTTGAGGTTGGGGTCGTCGCGGAGTCTGTCATCGGCCTGTGCATGGTCAGTCGCGGGTAAGTCAGGACAAGAGGAAGGCGTGGTGGGCGCACCTTCTTGACGACGGGCAGGATCCAGGGCTTTGCATTGTCGTCTCGGTAGGCTCCAATGCCCAGGTCGACCTTGTTGGGGTCCTCGTCGCGGCGGAAGGCAGCCATCAGCCCGAACAGCGGGTCTTCGGGCGCCTGGGGGACGACATTCGCGTCGAAAGCGGTAGCAGCCATTGGTTCGATGTGCGAGGAGATCTGGTTGAGTCGGGTCTGGGAAGAAGTCTGGGTGGAAGTAGTGGAGAGGGAGAGGGAGGAGGTGAGTGGTTTGAGGACAGGTGAGTCTGGCATGATGATTACGGCGTATGAGCTCTCCCACGTTTACGTTTCACCGCTGCCGCCGCCTAACTATGGGAAGCCGTGTCCAGCCCACGCTTAACCCCGCAGTTTTCTTTTGGAAGGCGAGATGCGGAGAACCGGGAGGCCGGTTCGAGACGATGCAGTAGAACAAAAGTTGGCTGACATGGCGACGGCATCGCATCCGACCAGCGCATTATATAGAGGTGAAGCTCGGAAGGTATGCCGCAGGGTCGTGTGAGCAAGCAAGCCGAGGCACAAGCTGCCGCTTCCGCAATGATGTCAGCTGTACAGCCCTTCTCACATGCAGGGCAGTCACCATCACGACTTCTTTCAGATGAGTAAACTTGCTACCGCTGTAGCTAGCTACGAACCGTTGTGGGTCTGCATGGCCTGCAGGCTGGCTGCTGGTTCAAGTATGCCGACCCCACATGGCTGCCATTGCTGCTTCTGGAAACTTGGTCCACTCAGAGCGCCCCGGATACTGACGGACGTAGCGCGATATATTCACATGTTGGGTATCTACCAAGAACACCACCGCACCTTGTTCCACTCTCATATGAACAAGTCCCACACAACAAGCGTCGTGCAGAAGATGCTTGTAGCCCAGAACAGCTTCTGCGCCGTACTGCCCCGCTCCGTCGCGCGCTTGAGCTCCTTGTTTCCACTCCCAACGTTCTCCGTTGTATTGAACGAGTCTTCAATGAGCTGGTTGATGTGCGTCTCCTGCATGCTGAGGTTGGACGCGAGCGTCGAGTGCAGCTCCGAGATCTCCATGAGCGACTTTTCGGTTGCACTGCCGGTGTCAGTAGCTGTTCAAGACGAGGGTGTCGTAGCACATACCGGACTTTGTCGAGCTGGTCCTCGTACTGCTTGAGCATGTCCTGGTTCTCCTGCGCAAACAGCTGGAGCTGCTCTGGGTCCAGCTGATTCTCAATCACCGCGCTCGACTCATCCGGGTTATAAGTCGACTTGGCCCGATAGTCCCCAGCCTTGTTCCCAGCATTGTGGCTCTCGTCCATGTCACTATAATCGCTGCTGGCTGGCCCTGTAGCCCTCGTCTTGTACAACACGCTCTTGCTCTTCTCCACCTCCCGCATGTGTCTGATTTCCATCATGTCCGTCTGGAACAGGACGCACTGCTCCAACTGAAAATCCAACGTCCACAATATGCCCTTTCGGTGTTCCCTGATCGTGTTCGCCTTGGCCTCTTCAATCTCCTCCTCGACGCTCTTCGCTGTGATTGCCCCGCCTGCTGCCCATCGTCCAAGCGCACCGAGGCCCTGCTTTGCGCGCTTCTTCAGAGCGACCTGCGTCTGGGTCTCCTGCCTCACCTGTTCAGCAGCCCCTAGCTTCTCAATCGCATCCTTCAGCTGATGTATCGATAGTTTGGCCTGGGCGTCGATCTCGTTGCGCTGCGTGTCGCTAAGGTATTTGGCATCTTTGTCTGCAGAGGCCGATGCTGCGCCTGCTCGCGCGTACTGCTTCCGGCGGGGGGCATGTGCCGTCGAGAGATAGCTCTGTCGTATCGACTTCAAGTCTGTGTGAAGCTTTGCAATGTGACCTCGCTGTGGCTGTTAGCTTTCACCTTCAGGTTCACGCGCGCAACGTGGCCTACAATGCGGTATGCCTCTTTTACAAAGCCGTCGAGGGCTTCGACGCGAAACACGGGAGGCTCAATCGGACGCGCATCGTGCTTCGCGAGCACCTGGTTAAATATTGGCGTGATGTCCATTGTGTTGGAGTGCAGTCAACTTGCTCATGTGAAATGACGATGCTCCCCGCGGGAGTGTCATGCTGGTCTTTCGCTTCCCAGCCAATGACGCACTATTGCGCCTGCCTAAACACCTACCATCACTATTCACTGCTCAAGATTCTTTACATTGAGGAAGGATGCTTCCTATCATGATTTAGAAAAGATTCGCATCAAGCATCTGCAACAGAAAGGTTTATCGCCCCGTAATATGTCTGATGATAATGTCACGTTCGCAGATGTCTTGGGCGTACCTCATTAGCTCTCACCATCTGTCTGCCGCCGTCGCCTTTGTCTGCATGTTCACGACGCTCACGCGCCCGATTGGACGTTCAAACATAACTATACTTCCAACCACGAGAACGTTCAGAGAGGCTAAGAGCTCAAGGGGTACTCGGGACCCAGGGTGTCAAGGCTAACTCAAGTCCAACTTTACTACACAAAGGATTCGCTATAGGATGAGGTGTTGTGTATTCCCAACAGAGACATTTGATACAAGCTCTGTAATAGCCGCTTTGTCTTCAATACCAGTCCCTTGATATATCGCTCACGTATTGGTTGTACAACCCAACACCTGGGCTCAGCTTATACCAAGGCCTGTCCAATCGCGCCATCAGCCGCAAGGCCACCTTGATTGACCTCACGGACTGGTCATGTTAGCTTTGTACAGCCACAGTTCGCTCACTACTTTTCACCTGCTCTTCGTGCGTCTGATTGAGCAAGTTTCTATTGCCCACTTACCCGTTTGCCTCCGCTGACCCCTCCAACAGTACGCGGACAGTGACTCTTGACTGTGTGCTTACGCGCTTGTTTCGAGCATATATTTCTAGAACCTATTCCTGATTCTACCTTCTCATCATCTCAATCAAGTAATTTCCAACTTCCCAACTTAACCTGATATTATCTTTCCAGTGCGACCAACAGTCACCACACTTCCTAGCCTCATCGACACGAAGTTCCACTTTTGTCTACAACCAACATCACAAAACCAAGATGTACTTCTCAAATATACTCCCGGTAGTGTTCGCCGCTGCTGCCATAGCCGCTCCTACTACTATGAACGGCCGTGGCGAGGAAGGCTGCGTTCCCACCTCCTACACCATCTCAGACTACAAGCTAGTTACTTCTCCGACCTCTGGAAGCGTTGATTTTACGTTCAAGTCTGTCTTCCCCACCGGCAGCACCATCGATGACCCAGTTCAGGTCGGCGCTCACTGCAGTGGCTCTGGAACCTCTGTACCCAACAGCAACGAGTGTCAGGTCGCTAACCGTCGTCTTCTATTCGACCTTCGTGGACCTCAAGATGAAGCCTACTACCAGATCACCCATTCCTGGACCTGCTCAGGGTAAGTCTACTAATATTGTCACCTCACAAGCAACAACTAACAGTACAACAGCAACCAGTGGCTATCCGGCAATGCGATCAAAGTCGACTCGCTTGAGTGTCACAACGAGGGCGACAAGCGCGTCTGCACTGGTGGACCCCAGACCTTCGCGCCTCAGAACGTGCGCAAGGTCTGTAACTTGCCTCAGTGCTGATGGCTTCGGTAAGCTCCTTATTGTCCCAAAGTTGAACCGTAGGTCCATCCCCTGGATAGGCGGTGTATCAGCGGTGTGAAGGGTGTAAATCGACTTTGTATCTTCATGGGCATCATTTGGTGTTATTGTGATTCTGGTTATTTTTGAACTTCTTTTCTCTTCTCAATCAATGTGCATAGCATCAAATGTAGAAAATGAAATATAACACACATTCAACTTCTTCATCTCCGTCGCACCGACTCAAAATAGATAAACTTCTTTGTACACTTCAGTATGACACATCATGCTTAATTACCTACTGCGTGACAATTGATCGTTCTGGTACAAGAGATCGGCTGTGTTTGTTTTTCTACACCCGGAACTTGCCAGACGAAAACAGATGTGGTTGGTACATAGCAAACATTGCTTATCGTTCTTTTTCCCTGCCGCCTCTTACGCCACAACTTGTGCCTGCATACGTAGGATTCCAGAAGGGTTTGGCGTCCAGAGGGTTTGACTAAATTCTCTCATTTGTCGAGTCCTTGACGCATGTGTAACAGTTTCTACAAAAGAGCCGGAGTAGACTAAGAAAATAGGTAGAAAAGTTTTCACCTACTACATGATATCATTTGGTATCTTTTCATGTATTGTAGAGGCTTCTAAGTCGTGAATGGGTATATGGCAAAAAAGCAAAATTTGTTCAGCCACCAAAGGCTTGGTGTAGTGTCCAGTTGGCGAAAGTCTTCAAACAACGTAGTCGGTGAAGCTGATTACCGGCCTTACCCAGCAGCGTGCAACTGCTCCATGATCTTCACTAGATTTCTGCGTTTTGCGTTGATACTGGACAGGGTTGCAGCTTCACCACCATTGGTTGCAGCTCGCTCGAAGAACGCTTGTGCTGCTAGTAGCTCCTGATGAGCCCTTCCAAGTCGCTTCAGCTGGTCTGAGACTGAACTTGAGTATCTAGGTAGATCCATATCCCAGTCCTCATCTGAGCCCATCTTTCCCATGGTGAGATCACTTATCCACAAGGCGACATTGCCGCGGAGTTCTAGAAGACTTGGCTGTCTGTCAAAGGGTGGTGACATGATGACCTGATCGAGGCGTTCTGCAATCTCCAGGGCTTGGGTAAGTTCTTCCATTTGGATCGCCTCTTCTTTCGCAGAGAGACCGTCTGACCTCTTACTGAGGTTACTGTCGACCGACACACTTCGAGAAGAGCGTGTTTGATTCGCGATGTCATCACGCAACTCCGTTCTTGCGCGCTTGCTCTTTTCGCAAACCTCGTAAATCCACAGTGAGAACATGGGCGGGTAGAAGGTTCTCTCATCGACAGCATGAGGCTGCAGTTTCCGATTCGGGTGTTGTATGATCAGACGATTGTAATATTCACGAGCAAGCTCAAAGCCCTGTTCAGAGAATCTGTGCTCATTCAGCGTTTGTGATCCACGACGCAGGGCTATTTCAGCACCAATGCCCCAACGTCCGTGGTTACGCGGATCTACCGGGCGCCCACCAGCTACCTGCGTCCGCAAGATCATGCCCCACGCTCTCCCCGCACGCTCGTAATCTCCCTTGAGCAGACAGCAATGCATCAGCGTGGACAAAGAGTCAAGGTGCGCCCTCTTCTGCGCCTCTGGTTGGCCTTGAACGACACCGCTTTTAGAGGTGGCGTTGACGGCGTAGAGGCGTGAAGGCGGCCTGGCCATTTCCTCTTGGACTTTAGCAGGGACATGATGTGGTTTGGACACGCTCGCAGGCGCATGGGGGAAGGGTGCTGGAGGGACCTCGTTCTCTTGGCTGGGCAATAGGCCTGCGACACGCAGCTGAGCTATGCCAGGCGCGGTAGACGAGGTGTACGATTGGACTGTGGCGTCTGGCTGCGTTTCGTCCTCTCCTTGTAGGTCGAAAAGCGATTCGTCTTGTTTCCTTTTCTCTTTATTTCTTCTCGACTTGCGATAATGACTCGCGCGCAGCGAGCGTGTCCTGTTCTGCTCATCACGCAACTGCGTGGTGAAGTGCTGCATGGTTGGTGATGACGCAGGACTGCACGCTCATGCGGCTGTCTGAGCTGCAACGGCCCCTGCTTAGTAGGCCCGGGATGCAGCGGTGAGGCTATGCAGCGGTAGCGGCCACGCACACACTGCGCGAAGGGAATGGGAAATTGGAGTCTGTAGAATAAAGGTGCGGCGAGCAGTTTCAGTAATAGACTTGAGGCAAGAGCAATCGACAACGGTAGCCCCATGCCGTTAGCGCCGTGACTGATTGGGAAGGCTCGGCTGCGCCATACATCACCGCTCTGCCGCCGCTGGACCTCGTCGCTCTGACCGAAGACACATCGACCCGACGACACCCTCTCCGACCGTTTCTATTCTCGAGGCGCGCCTTCCTCGCCGGACGGCCTCACAACATGGGCCAGGCAAACTCGACGGGCGCTGCGGATGCGCAAACACGGCGGCGATCGCGGCCGCTGTCATGGGCGCCTGGGTTACTGGCCTCGTCCCAGCCTAACGACGACACGGTGCCAGAGTTGCTGCATAGAGCCCCGGACACGCCCTCGCGATCCCGCCCCAGTACCACAAGAATCTCCAACCGCCTCTCCTCTCACTTTGGGCGCCACGATGCTGGCTCGTCAGCGCCCGAAGATGCCCCGGTCCCCAGTCGCTCGCGGTCGCGGCTGCACCGGGCGCGCTCGTCGCTCAGTTCCATGACGGGCCTGCTGTCGAGACGACCGCCGCTGCCTGCCCGCAACACCGAGCCCACGAGCGGCTTCGCGGCACCGAGTACGCCCAACAACACCGTGCCAAGCCGCGCTGCTCTGAGGCATACGGCGAGCGACCGAGGGCCCTTCCTTCCACGCGTGCAGGTCCCAGAACTAGGACTAGACTTTGACCAGCTGCTGCGGACCAACTCACAAGCCGAGCGGCCAGACGGACATAGACAGCGACCGCTGGTTCCCTTGAGCCCATTGCGACGGGATGGACGCGCCCTCAGCATCATTCCCTCGCAGCGCCGACTACGCAACATGATAGGACACCCGCGGAGGAGACGATCGCTCTGGCAGGATGGAGAGAACATGGACAATGTGCAGCAGCTGAGGCAAGGCGAGGACCAGGCCGATGTGCTGTCAAGGCTGTTATCGCTGGCTGCAGCTGCCACAGCAGCCTCGTTGGTTGGCGACGACAACCAAGCAGCAACCCGAGACGGTACATTCGACACGTTCCTACAGTCACTGCAGAACGGCAGCATAGCATCGGCGCTAAGAGGCAACGAGGATGGCCAAGGTGGCGACAATCCCGGAGCCGCACAGGCGCCCCTCAATTTCTTCAGAATGTTCAGGTTTGGCACCAGTACCGACAACGCAAGGAACGACACTACTGGGCGCGGCGGCAGTTCATCAGGGAACGGTGGAACAGAAGGAGAGGAAGATGGCGAAGGCAGGATGGTGCCGATAATCATTGTGGGCATCAGATCTATACAGCCCGGAAGCGGTACGGGACAAGAGGATGCCAGCATACCGCCCTTCCTCGACGCCCTCTCAAGCTTCCCCACACCTCCCACGTCACCAGGCGATACCAATGCGAACATTCTACAGCCACCGCAGAACGGGACCCGCTTCAGCCACAGAAGACGAGCCTCGATGGGCGGCTTCAACTTTCCTTCGAATTACGACAGCCAAAGACACCACCGTGGGACGACACAAGAGCGCTCTCGTCCATGGTCATCCGTCACCGACTCGCCTCCAGGGCCCCTCCCCCCACCCTCTACGCCAGCTACGACGCTGAACTTCTCAGCTGGTCCGTCAGGCGCAACGACCCCTGCAACTTCTACCTCGCCCTCTTCACCGACCACACAATCCTCAGCACCCTCGCGGCGGAACAGCTTCGTCCGCAGGGCTGCTGGTTCGACTCTCGAGCCCACCGCGGAAGAACCACAAACACATACCCGGAACGCTCGGCCACGGCGCTTGAGCGAGTCGGACTTCACAAGATACGGCTCAGGTGCACCTCGCAGAAGAGGCGTCGTGGAGCCAGACAACAATCCTGGGGAGGGTTCACGGAGCTGGATCATCTATGTGCTAGGTGGGAGCTATCCTGAAAACCACCCAATTCTTACCACTCCCAGCCTGTTCACCGACTCGCCCACTTACGAAGATATGATGTTACTCTCATCTATACTCGGACCCGCCAAACCACCCGTCGCGAGTGAGGAGGATGTAGCTTCGGCTCCAGGCCTTTTCAGGATACGTGGTGATGCCGGTGCTCTTGTAGCTGAAGCTGTTGAGGGTCAAGAGACAATCAACCTTGTTGCCGGTGCGCGCTGTCTCGTCTGCCTGTGTGATTTCGAAGTGGACGAGGAGGCGCGGAAGCTAGTCAAGTGCGAACACATGTTCCACAAAATCTGTATTGATCAGGTGAGTTGCTAGCTTGATTCGTAGCATTGCGCATGCTAACTTACTTTAGTGGCTGACAACTGGACGCAACTCTTGTCCACTCTGTAGAGGAGAGGGCGTGCATGAAACGGTCAAGGAAACCGATGCCACCTCAGATGCTGCTACGCCTTCGGTGCCGCAAGCAGCCGCTTGATCAATTCTCACTTGCAGCAGGTGATGTTCGGCTCTTCACCATGAGGGCTTCGCTCATTTCTTCACATATACCCCTTTCTTACATGATTGGCTACTCTACCCGAACTATTGGATACGAAGGACTATCGGGTCAGGCTGTTTTCTCTATTTCCTGCAAACTGGAGCGTTCATGGCGTCCGCAATGTATTACTTGGATCTTGGCATATTTGGCATCACGGCATCTCAGGGAAAAAGGGATGGAATTTCGACTGTTTTTCTGGCGGGCAGCATCTCAACGACTTGCTACGAATCTCTCACTGTATATGCGGTAGAACGAGATGGGGGAGTGATCTAGTCTTCGAAGCTACACCGGGCAGACATGACGAACTGCTACGCTTGTGCTCAAGACAGCCGGGCAGGCAGCAATAATGACAAAGGATCTTGTTTCGGCACATCACTTCTCCGACTTGCGTTTACAACGAATGCATATATGGATGCATAATCATTCACATAAGCCTGCCTCGTGTCATGCACACGTACCTTGGTGGATTAGTTGAGGTGATATAGATGCCAACCAACCGCCCTGGGTGCGAAGAGTCGCCCAAACGTTACGGAACGCGTCGTGCCGGCCAATATTCGGTCCTAGTAGTCCGAAATGTCCGAACCGTCTGGCCTCGCGGCCGTACGGATGGGTGTATACGGCGGAACGTTTACGGTAAACGGCGAAGAAGCACAGGACGAGTGTTTCGTTCTGGAACGTGTGGTGCTGACCCGAACCGTGTAGCAGGAGTAATGATAGCCGGGGCGGGCGGCCGCCACAACCGTAGTAATCATACGATGTGGGCGAACTGGCCAGAAGGAGGTCAACGCAGATGTATATCAGTGCACACACCTTTTGATGATGGCGTACGCCTTTTCACAGGCAGCCGCCAAACCCACGATAAATAGCGTCCAGCTATGTCTGGATAGGGCGTAGACGGGTGATGATCTCCTTGTCGCTGCTTCCGCGGAGCGTCGAAGGAGTTGTGATGAGTGAACAGCTTAGCTTGATATAGCTTGATATAGGCTGCGTGGAGACTGAGTTGAAGAAGGGAGGGTACAGAAACCGAAATGGCGTGCGCCTGCTTTCGGGACGGGGAGAGTCGTTGCTGATCGTACTGGATATCCAGACGGACGTGTGCCTGGTTTCGTTATTGCGTGGCATGCGTGGCTGCGGCAGAGTTGGAGACCCTGCATATCGTGGACTATGGATGTATACACATCAGGCGGACCTCCATCTTACAACGGGTGCTATCTGTTACGACATTTGGGATTCATGTTCCTCATGTCAGGATATCTGAACAAGTCGCCCAGTTGCTGCAGCTCGTATATAGTAAACAAATGCACATGGACCCATAGGTAAACAGAAAAAAACATTGGTCATAAAGGATTGTTGTGCAGACGTAAGGATCATCCAAGATGGTGTTTGATGATTCAAGACCACTATCGACTATCGGACCCGGGATGTGCAGTCGCATTGTGTCGGGGTACACCTCTAGGTCATCCCGGCAGCGGTCTAGCGGTCAACACCAAGGGCGGACCGTTGCGTGGTGTCGTGTCTAGATTGTTTTCCAAGTGGCTACAAGCAGGTTATCTGGTCGCCATCTGCGAATGGCTACAGGTTGGCGACCCAGAAAGCAGGCACCGATGGCCAAACCCCGAGCAGCTGCGTGCCCAGGATCAATGGTCCACCGAACAGCTCGGAGATGAGGTTGCCGTTTCAGGCAGGAACAATGTCTCTCGGTCAATACGGAAGGAACTATGAAAGCTCAAAATGTCTCACAGCCTTGCCTTGGAAACTCCATGACTACGTGCCGTACAGGATTGTGCCCAGTCCAAGTAGCCTGAATCTTGACGTTTCACTTGCGACGACTCGACAGCTGATCCGCATGATAGATACATGCGGAGACGATCGGTAGTGTTTATGGGAGGCAGGTAGAAATGACGTTGATGCGAGGAACATGACACTGGAGGATCTCGCAGGGATAGACTGCAGTCGCACATGATGCATCTGGCAGTAGACTCCAGTTTTATTCTGGGCTTACTCAATGTCAGCAGCAGTAGTCGTTCCTTCCCAGACAGACAGAGAAGACCCATTGGAGATGTTGTCGGCGACGTGCCAGAAAGCGTAAAATTCACGAGACACTCTGGTGGAGAGAGGTCACGGAGCGTTTGAAAGTCGGCCTCCTGCTCTTCTTGTTCCATGCCGATTCTCTGGGTCGTCTTTTTGGAAGTGGGCATAACCCTGTCAGCTACACGTGGGTCCTCTGCCGCGGAATAGTGCATCTTCACCTCGCGCCCTTATGTGACGAGTCGTCCAATCTAAGCCTGCTCTTCCTTCAACGACGGCAAAAAAGCTCGACGGCCACCCCACACACTACCTCACCTTCTGCCGTTACATCCAGCCCGTCATTCGCGGCATGCAAGACGCAAGCCACCGGCACACGCAGTCTGCGATTGGCATGCCTGGGGTGGCTTTGGAGCTGCGGCAATGTTTGCGACAATGGACTTTCCAAGGTTCCGCCAGACGTCGCACAGCGTATCTAGGCCCGTCAGCATATGGGCCTCTCCAGCTGCGAGGCAAATGAGATGTGGTGTTAATCATCGAGAGATCCACCCAAAAGGCCCGCCGCTCGCATGACGCACAGCAACTGCACGGTCGCGTCCCGCTCTTTCGCTCGCTCAAGGTCCACCAGTCAGCTGCAGCCGGATTCGCCATTACAGCAGCCGCCATCTACCATGCTGGTATAGGGCAGAACACGACATCAACCTCTGTAAGGTCTCACTGACTGTCAGGGCCCATGACGATATCAAGTCCTGCCCCGCCTTGGTCGAGTCTGCAGTCGCTGCGCACAGGCCAGACAGACGGTTCCTGTTGGCCACTCCTGCATGGCACGAAACAGAGACAGTTACCTCATAGTGCCTCCAAAGGGAACCAGTCTGGCAGTAGAGGATACGGGTCTCCATGCCACTTCTCCCAAGTGCCGTTGCCGCCTAGTGGTGCTGGGCGATAAAAGGCAGATGAGGCGATCCTCATCAGGCCACCTAGCTCTGCATTTGCGCGCCAATCTTCCCGCGGCATGCCAGCAGCATCGCCCAACGTGCAGACAGCCGTGGCGCCTCCGTGCCCTGGGAGACGCAGGCATCCAAGAGCTACCATTGTCACGGGACAGGGACCCGGGGCTGAGCTCGATGCTGCTGATAATGGTTAGCAAGCAGGGTCGCCATCTTCTCGAAGCAGGCTTTATTCTCCCGTCAACGGCCTTCGTTGACTCAGTACGAAGGAGCCGGTGGCGCTGCATGGCTGGCTAATTTGTGGCCGTCCTCACTAGCCGCGTTTGTGAGATGAAATATCAATTTGATATTCTTCCTAACAGGCACTTTGATGAGGCTTGAAAGTCTAAAGGCTGCCACCGGGCAATTGCACTGCATTGCATCGGGGCACTCCCCACTTCAGGAGAGTGGAGTTCGCGGAAAAGTCCATGGATATACCGGCCCTGCCCTATACTCAACGACACCCTCAGGTAGTCTTGAGTAAGGGCATTCGTGTGTAGCGCATACGAGTGTGTGCACTAACTCTGACAGCCGCTTCCAGAGCAGCTTCACATCACGCCCCATTCGCTGACGATTGACCTAGCCCCATGGCTTCTCTAAACGCCCCACATGCCTCACCACCTTGGTGAAATCGGGGCCGATGCACATCATGTCCCAATTTTGTGCTTGCCTCCTATTAGGCTGGGTCCGTCTGCTGCAAAGGCGATCCACGACCTGCCTCAAGCCGTAGCTGACTGAAGTTTATAGTCGCCGTGGCAGCACGCCTAAGAGTAGTTGACAGGCGGGATCAACGGCGGGGATGTGTCAAAATATGGACCTATACGGCATTTTGGAGCGACTGTTCCGGACAGACCCTTCTATTCTCCCCAGAATTCATTCCATGTGGATGCTGGCGAGTGGACCAGTTCGCACGGTGATCAGGAGCGATCAAACCTGGGATCGCAGAGGGCGTCTTGCACGGAGCTAATCCATGGCTGCGCGGAAGGCGGAAGCGTTTAGGTGCACGGCCATAGCACAGCGGCCTGGGAGACAACTCAGCGGCGTGCGGCTTGCTTTTTCCCCTTCACTGCACCCCGGCCTTAGATGCAGACGTTTGATAAAAATTGAGACTATCCATTCCTGGCATTGGACATTGCTTCTTTGTCCGAACTAGACACAAGCCTCCTGTCACGGGCTGACTCTCTCACACGACCTCTGCCTGCGGCTGCTGTACTCTCTCTTCCTCAACGTTGCCCAGTTTCAGTCTCAGACTGGTACTGCACATGCTTCCGTCATCAGCAATTGTGGTGCAGGAGACGGACTTGCTCCTTTGTGGACGAGACGCAGGTCTATCGCATACTTATTCCAGGCCGCTTGGTCTTGGTGCTAGCTGGGGCCAACACCCGCGCGCCCAAACCAGCGTGCATTGAACTAAATCACGGCTTCGATCCTGCAAGCGTGCTTCTACAAGTATATCCCTCCAAAATCCCGTACCTGGCGCCCGAGCCATTGTCACACCCGTGGACACGGCGATCGACCTCGGACCCTTGCAACTGGATGACGTTGATCCTTTTACGGCAAGCTTTACCGTCCACGGCTCACCAACATCTACCAATACAAACAACCTACACTCCATCAGTTTTCTATCCTCTCCAACCCTCCTAGGCATGTCTGGATACTATCCTCCTCCTGGGCATAACACTCCGCCTCAGTACTACAACCTTGATCCGAATGCGATCCCCAATTCCAACATTCAGCATGCCCCACCAACTATAATCTCACATGGCTCGTATGCACCCACCTTGCCAGACAACCCGTTTCAACCTGGTGTTCCTGGACCCTTTGTACAATACGAGAACATTGGTCAACCAAACTACGTTGATCAGTATGAGGACATATCTGGGCCAATGGGCTCAGCGCATGGTGCTAATGGCCGCGCACGAAGAAGGCCAGCGCCTGGCGAACAGGTGAAGCATCGCAGAACACGGAGTGGCTGTTTCACATGCAGGCAAAGAAGAGTCAAGGTATGCGCTCTACCTTGTGGGATAGAGGCTTGACTGATAGGTAACAGTGTGACGAAAACCATCCCGTGTGCGAACGTGAGTATCCGCGCTTGCTCTCACACACTCAAGAACTGCTTAGTCTGACGTGTTTTGCTAGGATGTCGCAAGGGGAGTCGCGAGTGTATCTACCCAGATTCACAGTCCAGTCAGAAATCGACACGCAGTGGATCGAAGTCAGGCAAGTCTGCATCCGCGGGGGATCAATCCTCACCTGAAGCCCATGAAGGAGAGGACAAGGAGCGCCTTCCTGCGATCATGGATGAAGATGAAGAGGACGATTACGTTGAGTATGATGATGACGACGATGACATGTCGAAGAGTCAAGACGCTCGCGATTCTTCACACACACCAGGCTCTTTCCTCGATCAAAGTACGTCTCCATCCACTGAAGCATCCTCGATACCGCCTACGGTACGCCCATCCATGTCTCGGAAAGGCAGTGCGCAAACTACCAAGGGCGCTTCGGCTATGGCGCGAGACCTCCAGTTTTACTTGAACTACTTCCGGAACCACATGAGCGTACATCATTACTCTCTCAAACGCGACACGCATGGCTTCCTCAAAGGCGATTTCCTGAGTTGGGCGACCAAGTTTGAGCCCTTGAAGTACGCTGTAGCTGGTTACGCGGCGTATTTCCACACGCTTGCGCAGCCTGATGGTCGCATGTCCACCTTCCTCCAGTTCTACAACGAATCTGTTTCGCGACTGAGGATAGCCATCACGAAGAACAAGAAGCAGGGGCTCGCAACATTTTTGACCATATTGCAACTTGCGAGTATTGAGGTATAGACCCTTGCAGAAAACCAATATCTCATGCTGACACCGGTTCCAGGAGATGCTCGGCGACTGGGTCAACCTTATGGGCCATCAAAAAGCAGCTTTCGAGATGCTCACCCGTCTATACACGCCGGAGACTATCGTCAAATCCGATTTTCTTTGCAAGGTACTTCTTTGGTACATCCGATTCGACCTGTTTGTTGGCTTTCAGTCCGGCGGTGAAGCAGTGCTTGGTCGCGAGTGGTACGAGGCGGTACATGAATGCTACGTTGAGAAAGTACGCGACAAGCCAGATGACATTGAGATGCTGTACGAAGAGCGCTTTGCGCATTCACGACTGGTAGCGAAAGATTCGAATGACCTGTTTGCAAGGACTGCCAAAGGTCTCGTCAGTCCTCAGGATTTTATGACACAGCTGCCAAAACTGAAGGAGAGGGTGGAGGCGCTCCGAAGAAACCTAGGCGACAAATTGACGGATCCCAGTTACAAGGTCCATCAGATTCCAGGAGAACCAGACCCGGAAGACTTCGTTAACCCCTACGAGCCGGATGTCATATGGGGTGGTCCGCTATGGACGTCGAACTACTTGCAGCTGGATCTATGGGGCATCCAGTTCATGTTCGCCATTTCGTCTTCCATGGCGCTGAAAGTGCCTCTTGATCCGGAAGTTACAAAAGAAGCATTTAAGGCGGTGCAGGTCTTTGAGGCTATATGCGCGTATCCGGAAGCTCCCCCAGGCGCACTACTAGAGGCACAGGTCAGTTTCGCGATTGCGACCCTGTTCCTGCCGAAAGATCAGAAGACTGTGCAATGGCTTCGACGAACGTTTGCGAAAATTGAAGCAGCAGGGTAAGTGAAATCTTTTGTTCGTGCAACGACGGGAGATTAGAGTGTTTTGTTCTAGGCACAGGCTAGTAACATGAGAGTCTTACCGAACCTCTACTAACAGGAGCATCAGGTATATTTATTCTGATGTTCTTCGAAACCGCATGCTCGAATCCATGGGTCTCGGTCCATCAGACTGGTGGCTCCCGAACGACGAAAGCTGCCCACCGATAATCCGATCCATCAAAGACTTCATCAAGGACCGCACACAAGCGCCTAAAGACCAAGTGTCAGACGATCTACGAGAGATGCGAGGAATTTTCAGCTCCCTGACTATCTCGGACTCACCGCCATCTGATAATATGACGGTAACGAGTGCCGACGGCTTGGGTTCGACATACGGATCTCCGGACTGGCAGTCATCAGGGTACGGAAGCGACCGCAAGTCGTCAAGCGCAGAGGCTTATCCGCCGGGGTCACAGCAACAATACGTTGTGCAGTAAGATGTGTGGCGCGCAAGAAATACTGAAGTTATTTAAGACAGTTGCATAAGACATCAGGACTGGTGTCCATGATGCGCAATGCCACGTCGGCAGCGCATACGCCCACGTTCCTCAGACGACGGTTGCGCGCATGACAGTAGAGAGTATTTCTCGTCTAGAACGCTCTATCAGCCCTGTCTTGCCGCGGCCCATGGTCGAGGTGGCCTTCCGAGAGGCGTTCTGTGAAACGTTGTTCCACAGATATGGCCTGGCTTGCCTACTGGTACCACTGCCGCAATGCACAGCATGAAGGTTTGTGTCTAGATGCCGAGGCAGGTCAACACCAAAGAGGAAGAATGGAGCGATGGACAGGGAAAGCTATGTGGTGTAACGTTTGCTGGCGCATGTTAGTTTCAACGTCCCATGGAGATCGGGTGTTCGCTATCCTATCGATAGAAGCACGGAGTAGCAAAGGCGGATCTTATGCATACGGAGGGAAAGTTTGGTCGTGATGGAGGAGGAGACCAAGTTATCATGCGCACTGCTAGATAAGCACACCGTCACCGTAACGCATTGTGGCTCACAAGCGACATGCAAAAGAAAAATTCAACAAGATGAAATAGAATCCCTGTGCATATGATAGCTGTGCAAGCTGTGCGTACCGTGAGAGAGTGTTTGGGTGAAGTTGAGGCGTGGCTGGTTCCGTTGCGGCGCAAGTGGAGCGTTGGAGATGGCGCCCGAAGCAGGCTAGTATGCAGGGATGGTGGGCGGCCCTGACAGGAGCGGGCAGCGGAGACACATGAAAGTCGCAAGAGCACCCCGACCACGACGACGACGTTGACAACAACAGCAACAACAACAAAGACGACGACGCCGCCCAGCCAGAAGACGTGAACAGGGCTCTGAGAGACATAACACGCATTATTATTCGCCATGGACAACCTCGGAAAGATCTCAGCGTTCGGAAAGAACATCTCGTATGCTTTTTCCCGCAATGTCGACCCGCGAGCTGCGCGACGGTTGGGCACGAGGTGGAGATATGCTGACATGGCTTCTGCAGCGCTTCCTTTACACCTTGGGCTGCCCGGACGCAGCAATATGTCAAGGAGCAGGTGGGCAATGTCGAGGACAAGGTATGGCTACCCTGGCAGCACACTTGGGCAGTACTGATACGGGCTCTGCAGACTCAACTCCCCCCGGACTACATCGAGCTCGAGAAGCGGGTCGATGCGCTGAAGAAGGTGCACACGACGATGCTGCAGGTCACGTACGACACCTCCCTCGACGTGCTGGTACTTGGTCTGACTGCCTAGCTCACAATACGCAAACGAAGCCTACGACTACCCAGCCAACATCCGCGAATCCTTCAACGACCTCGGCCGCACCGTCTCCGAGAAGGTCAACCTGCTCTCCAGCGCCACATCGCCCGCCGAAGCCCAGGCTGCCCTAACTGCTCCGCCCTCAGCAAAGCCCCAGCCCAAGACGTTCAATCATGCCATCGCCCGCGCCGCCCTCAACTCGTCGCACATGCTCACCTCGGAGCAGACCAGCTCCAGTGAGGACCCCCTTGCTACCGCCCTCGAGAAGTATGCCATTGCCAGCGAGAAGGTCGGCGAAGCCCGACTAGCCCAGGACGCCCAGATCCAGAGCCGCTTCCTGGCCGGCTGGAGCACCACGCTCAACACCAACATCCAGTTCGCTACACGTGCTCGCAAGGCAGTCGAGAACTCGCGGTTGAGCCTGGATGCGACCAAGGCCAACGCAAAGGGTCCTGCTTTCACTCTGCCCGGTCAGGCTCCAAAGACAGCCATGGACGACGACATCAGTGAAGAGGCGAGAGCCAAGATCGAGCAGGCCGAAGACGAGTTTGTTGGCCAGACTGAGGAGGCCGTCGGTGTCATGAAGAACGTACGACTATAGCTTCCAGCCCGCACCCCCATGTACTGGCACCTAGACGCTAACCAAACAATAGGTCCTCGACACCCCCGAGCCTCTCCGCAACCTCGCTGAACTCATCGCCGCCCAGCTCGAGTACCACAAGAAGGCATACGAGATTCTGTCCGAGCTGGCACCCGTCGTCGAGCAGCTGCAGGTCGAACAGGAGGTGCGTAGACACCAGTCTTCGGATTACTAGCATGTCTTCACCGGACCCGACTAATGCATTGCACTGATAGGCCAGCTACCGCAGGGCTCGCGAGGAGTTGTAGAACGCCTCTGACGCACGCGGCCAAGCAAAAGGAAAGATTGGAGACAAACACTAGCTCAATTTTGGTCACGTCACAATGTCGTCTACGGACGTTCTTGGTGGTTTGCTTCACATTCACACGGCATCTAGTTTATTAGCTCAGTCAATTCCTTCTTTCTTCCGCCATTCCACTTCTGTGACGCTACATGCCAACACACCGTGACTGCCATACCGATATCTTATTGAAATACACCACTCTCATCCCTGAATTCTGCCGCTTGCCCTCTAGCAAACTCCGCCATCCTCTCCCTTTCCCCTTCTTTTCCATCGTCATCTTCCTGAGCCGGAATATACTTCCTCATGACATCCCTCACATAGTCTTCTGGCACACCTAGCTTCACAGCATCTGTGATCCCTTGGTTCATTCTGTACATATACTCCTCTCGCGGCTTATCCGACTGGACACGATTCCTATCGATGTAAACTAGCATGTCCTCCTTCTTTTCCGGATCTTTGCTAGTATCCACTTTGTGCTCTGTGTCAGAAGGCCAGAACTCGCATTGTAGCATCTCTTTTGTGTAAGCCACGGGCACGCCTTCGTTCTTGTCTAGTCTCTTTTCATCTTCTGCTTCAAGTGAATAGACGAGACCAAAGACTACGTCGTCGTAAGGAGACATGGATGTGCTGTTACTATCGGTCACTTCGACGACGTTCGCGTAACCGCGGTCGTTTATTATCCACTGGTAGTTTGGTAGGCGGGCGACTCCTAGGTAGGTCGACGTCGGGCAGCGTGTCGTCATTTGGTGAAGCCAGAGATTTGAACCGTAACCAAAGTATATTATGGGAGATGCGGAGGGCGCCATGGGTAGTTGAGGACTTGCCATGTTGAGATTGGCGTAGATGGCTTTGATTATTGAAGTTGACGACGCGACTCTGTTGCGTACTTTGGGGCTGGTGCAGAGTGAAAGTCGTAGACTATGCCTTTTTGGGCGTTCCGAGGCTGACGGATTACATCATTCGTCTCGTCTCGCGATCCCGGCCAGAACTTTTGGAAGGAACGCGGGACACGCTTGACAGTCTTGCGGATATCTTTCCAAGTACGTCCATCCATTGTGCTTGGACGCATACAGAGCAATCTTTCGTCCTCGCCTAGCTCACGGTCCAGCAGCTTTACTGGTGAAGTAGGAGTCGTCCTTTGAAGGTACCCCGCTACACATTTTAGCTAGCTTTGACACCAGACAGCTACACGCTGCGAGGAATTGAACAAGTAGTGACTGTCGAAAGATGCCTTACTCCCACCACAGCCATTCTGGCCAATTCTGTGGACATGCGCAGAACACGCTTGAGGAAGTCGTCCAGGCAGCAATAGCCAAACGCTTCCATACTTTCTCCTTGACGGAGCATATACCCAGGCCGCAGGAAGACTTCTATCCTGAAGAAGCCGAATCTCACACCGAGCAGAGTCTCGCGAAGCTATTCGATGACTTTATCGTCGAAGCCCACCGACTACGAGACGCGTACTCGGACCAGATCCAGATACTCATCGGCTTCGAAACCGAGTACATCCGCCCATCTACGCTGCACATCATTCGCAGCATCCTCGACAAGTACACCTTCGATTTCTTCATGGGCTCTGTCCACCACACGCACACGATACCAATCGACTTCGACCGCGCCATGTACGAACAAGCTAGAGACAAGGCAGGTGGGACCGACGAGCGCCTCTTTGAGGACTACTTCGACTCCCAGTACGAAATGCTTCAGGAGCTACAGCCACCAGTGGTCGGGCATTTTGATCTTATTCGCCTACTTAGCGACCATCGCGACGCCGATTTCCAGGGCATGCCTGGCGTTTGGGACAGAATAAAGCGCAACTTGGAATACGTAGCCTCTTATGGCGCTCTTCTCGAATTGAACTCGTCTGGGTTGCGAAAAGGTTTGGCCGAGCCGTATCCGTGCTTGCCCATATGTCAAGTCAGTCACACCGCCATATGCCCGAGCTCGGCGTCGAGTTTACTAACGTATGTCATAGATGTTCTTACGCATGGGAGGTGGTTTCGTCATGTCTGACGACAGTCATGGAATCGACCAGATAGGTACAAACTATGCGCGGCTATTGGCTTTCATACGCAAGGCAGGGATAGACCAGATACATTATGCTGACCGGGCCGGTGTGCGCAAAGACAGCCGCTTCCCCAATGCGGGCTTCTCTAGTATTGCTGTAACCGACCTGGCGCAATCGCCCTTCTGGGCGAACCTAGGGTGATATCATCTTCGCCATGGGTAGCCCTTCGGTAGTTGGAGGCGCCACTGAAACCCTCCTTGTTGAAAGTTTCGGGCCACGAAGCCGGCGCCACGCTATCAAGGAACTTTTGTCAACGGTTGGTTCGAGTGAACATGCAGCGCGCATTGCCTTTCGGGTATTTTATTTCGAAGCGAAATTGTCCGCTGATATGGTAATGTGCAGTTGGTGTAGTCCATATCACTAGTCAACTGGGGCTACATGCTCTGCTATTACGATGCTGCACTCCAGATACGTGGAGCTTCTCCACGACTCAGTTACCGCTGCAAGCGCATTTAAACTAGCCAATGTGAAGCGTGCAATGCTCCCAGACCACGCTGTTGGGCTCTCGGCTCAACGCACAGGGCTCGCGATCGTCTTCATCGTAAGTTAGCTGATGGACTGAGAAGGGGATGGTTGAAGCACGGTCAAAAGACCACGTGTAATGGCCATCGGATTCACACTCTTTAGCCCCACACTACTTGCGCTCTCTTACCCTGGTCCAAAATATTTATTCGTTTGCCGCGAGAAGCACGATAACCAGCAATCCCGCAT